GAATTCTTTGCTGCTTTTTTCCCAGCCTGTTTTCAATTTGCTCTTGTGGCCAGCTTTGACTCTGACCTCAACTCAATCAGAAGCGAGAGGGTGAGGGGAGAAAGAGAGAGAGAGAGGGAGGGAAAATGAGGAGGCAGAGGATTTGAGGGAGTGATAAAAGGATAGGGGATTGAGGCAGGCGGTGGGGCCTTGAGAAAAATTACTCTGTGCTTTGTTGGGTTGGTTCTGAAGCTTCAGCAGAATCATGATTGACCTTTTCTGTGGATTGTAATGAGAGCAAGGCTTGAGTCTGAGTGGATAAAGAAATGTGTGGGGGTCTGGCCCAAGCCCACTCGGGTTACAGCCCCAGAAGAGCCATAATGGGGAACAGGCACATTCCTGTACAGCGACTCCCAACTCCCTATCTGTTTTCAAGGAAAGAAAAACAGAGAAAGAATGTTAGAATCTTGGACAGGCATGGGCGAGGCAGTGGCGACAGCAGCCTGGGTCTAGGAGGATTCTGCCACAAGCCATAACATGTCAGAGAGGAGGGGACAGAGCTAATGTAGGCAGGGTGTCCTAGTGGAAGGCACATGGAGCTCAGAAGCAAAAGAGATAGGTTTAATCCTGGGCTCTACCCTGAGAGGCTGCGAAGCCTTGAGTGGAGCTGCAACATTCCTGAATTTCTGTATTCCTATCAGGGAATGTGGCAGGGTTTTTGGATTCAAACATTTTTAGCAATAAAACTTATAAGCCAACATTTTTAAAACTGTTTTTTCCCCAACTTACATAAAACATCAGTATATAAAACAGATCTAACTGATGTTGCTCTGGTTTGAAGTTAGCGTGAGTATAAGAGGAGGCAGAATTTAGCCCCTACCTACCACCTCTACCGTTCCTTCTCAACTCTGGAGTTCTGCATATTCTATTTGGCAAACCACTGCTAGAATATATTACATAGTGGAAACCTGTTGAACTACTTCTGTCTCTCCTGGGCTTTGTATCTTTCTTAGGGAGTCCAAGTTTAAGAAGATGGCCGGGTGGAACTGTGTGCCTTGCACAGCGCCTGGCACATAGTAAAGAGAGCTCACATTCATGTGGACTATAGCTGATCAGAAACTGAAGAGCAACATCTGCAGTTTTCAGCAATTTTATCTCCTAGGCTGGCTGATAGGAATGATCACATAGGCTCTAAGAGTCAAGAGATGAGGTTTTTGTTCTAAGTCAACCTCCTACTTTGTGTTTGGCCATGGACATGCCACTTTCCTTCTCAAGGCTTCAGTTGTCACCGGGAAAAGGATAGGATTTTACCCAAAAGTTGGGTTAAAAAAAAAATCTAAGGGTCCTTATCTCTCTTCCCTGTTACGATGACAATAATAATAAAAACAATAATGATAGTTAACATATTTTGAGCCCTAGTGTATGCCAGACATGCTAATTGATTTGTAAGCAATATATTCAATTTTTATACGATACAGTGCTGTAAGTTAGATACCAGAATTATATCCATTTTACATGTGAGAAAATAGATGTAAAGAGTCAAGGAATCTGTCCAAGGCAAGCTGTAAGTGGGGGTGAACCAGGATTTAATCCTAGACAGCATAAATTCAGAGCTCAACCTCTTAACCACTGCACTGTAGGATTGTTCGTTCAGTTGTTCCACTGCCAGACTTGGGGTATGGTGTATTGTAGAACCCTGATGCATGTGTTGAATTGTACTGATTTGCATTTGTGCATAGAGAAGCCTCCGGGCCTTTCTTAATTACTACCCCCCCACGCCCCCACTAAGTGAGCGAGGACAGTGAAGGATTGCCTCATTCACCTGTCTCCACCTAGGTTACATTTAAACCTTCCGGAATAGAGTGCCAAGAAAAGCAATCTTACATTTTACTTTATGGGTCTGTTCTTGTATTTGAGAAACCTTCCTGTTGTCAGATTACAAACTGTAGAAGGTCAGGGACCATTTCTTTTATTGTTTCATTCCCCAAGACCACAGAACTACGAGTGGCATGAATTCAATTGCAGACCGAACAGAATTGAGAAAGCTCACTTTCTAACACTATTTTTTTTAAAACTTTCTCTAGGAGGCAGCATAGTATAAAAGAAAAGGTATGGCTTTGGAGTTAGGATGATCTGGGTTCAAATCTCAGCTCTGTTCCTCCCTAAATTTCTGAGCTTAATCTCAACTTTACAAGAGAGATATTAACATTTAACTCATTAGTATTGAGTATTGTGACAAATGAAAAAAAAGAAAATCTGGTACTAAATGTCAGTTTTCTTCCCTTTAACTCTTTTCATTTGAACGTCATTATGTATATTTAGTCCCGAATAGAACTGGGCACTGAGTTTCCTTAGAATGTCCTCCGTATAACTAGTTATATATGCCATGCTATCCAGTTTCTTCACTTGAACTAAACCTATAAACCTTAGAACCGTGTGCCTATCTTACTGACCTATCAGACATATTATGAGGCTTTTATCCAGGGTCCAAATTATTCTGAAATGGATTGAAATATCTGGAAAACTATGCCCATTTGTAAATGAATGTCAACCATATTTTGGCTTGAAGATGGTTAATACAGGCCACAGGAATACTGAATTCCCTCACGAGGGGCCAACTCTTTCAATGGCTATCTAGAAACAAATTGAAAAGCAGACAGACATGGATCCAAGCTCAAAGAAAACAAATGTAAGCTGCCAAACTTGAAATCCTAAGAAACCAAGAGAAACAAAGCCCTTACTCCCTCCTGTGAGTAATTCCATGTTTTTTCCCCTTTCCTTATTTTCCACCCTATACATTGTTCTGCTTTGGTACCTATTGGCAGAGAGACATTGTTGGTTTATGATTTTACTATGGAAGAAACTGACATAAGAGGCCTATGGAAGAAAGAGGGGAGGCCAAAATCTTTGATTAATAAAGCTTTCATTTACCTTTTCATTTTCTAGCAGAACTGCTGGTTCTAGACAAAGAATTTCTTCTTAGACTCAGCCTTTCTTTCTAGACTCCAAACTCAGTAAGAGCTATTGACCCCGTATTACAGAAAGGAAAACTGAGACTTTGAGAAGTTAAGAGACTTGCAGTAAATGGTGGAAATAGAATTCAGTCCAAAGTCTCTCCGACAATAGCAGGTGAACCTGCGTGTCGCTGACATCAGCCTGATTCAGACACTTCCTCTGGCACCTATGTATCGAGTCTATGAACTGTAGTTGTCATTGTAAAAAGTGGAAAACAAAGAACACCACACATCAGCTCTACTAGATTGGACCATAGGGACAAATACTTTATAGAACCATTGTTTACCTGAACTCCCGGGGCTATCCAGACTGTTCAGTCAGACAAGTGTTAACCTCATTCACTTGTGAGTGAAGAATGAAACTTTTCTTTGAAAGACCAACAGGAGGTGATCTGTATATTCTGCCCTCCCAGTTCCTTGCCTCCCCGGGTCACAGTCTTCTCAGACACTTGGCCAATATTACTGTTCCATGATAGTTCCATTATATTGGATTGTCCTTAACATCAAGTAGAGAAGATTTAGTTGAATGGACATCTTCTTCTTGTTTATTAGTAAGAATAAGTGAGTAGAGAGTGTGAGGCATTCCATACCAGACAAGAAAGAGAAGGAATGAACTGTAGGGAGGCCTCCTATTATTCCATACTGTGTGGTATAAAATAACTCACATGCTTGTTTTGCTCCTAAATTATCCGATTTTAGAATTGGAAGGGAACTTAGAGGCCATTTATTCTGGCTCATTTATTTTATCTATTTTTAAGTAATTTTTTATTGATTTTTTTCTTTGTTACATTTCATTGTAGGTAGTTTTTTTTTTTTTAAACAGAGATAATGGGTATTTTTTTCTCTTATTTTTCCTTATCTCACTTTACAAAGCCACTATTATGTATTTGCTCTCATTTCTTCCTTCTCTTTTGAAATAGATACACATGTAAAATTTCCACCAAACATTAGATTATTCTGTAATAGCACAGCCTGTTTTTTAATTTAATATCTTTTCCTATAATTTCATAATCTTCCACAATATTGTTTTTAATAGCTACAAAATATTCCATTGCATCACTGAACTATAATTGATATTGCTGTTTCTATATCGTTGAACATTTAGTTGTTTCTAAACTCTTCTTGATTTAAATAGTACCATAATGTTTGTTCACATAGCTCAATCTTTGTGTACATCTGTGTTTTTATTTTATTTTTTTCAAAGCTCTAATAGTGATTCTACCACTTTGATTCTACAGAGGAGAAAACTAAGGCACAGAGATGGGAATTCGGTTGCCTCAAGCTATCCAGCAAATCCTTAACAGAGTTAAGACTAGATTTGAAAATGTTATTCTTTTTAGTCAGGCCTATTTCTAGTAAACTTCAGCTGCTTCCTAAAACCCAGTGGCTCAGTCAACTTTTGGAAATCATGGAAATCAAGGCACTTGCCCTTGCTCTTCCACTGTCCCTTCCTGTCCCATGGCCTTCATCACTCATCAGTCATAGAACTCTTTCCCCCTCAGTTGGACCAGGTTTCTGTCCATCTCAACATAACACTTCATGAATCTAGTACCACTGCATTAAGAGTGACCATGCGATAAGAAACCTATCTTACATCCTTGGAAGGAGAATGCAATCCCAAGAAGGAACAGCCTTGCTCAAGTAATGAAGAGGAAGTTAATGGCAGGAACAAGACCAGAAAATTTACTCTGGACAGAAAGCATTATTCCCCTGTTACCTTTCCATGCATTTTTAGTACACAGTAATTTACCTCATTTGAGCCTTGTTATAATTTCATAAAGGTAGGTATTAGTATGCCCGCTTTCCAGTTGAGAAAATTCCAGCATAAATTTAAACAGGGGCATTAGGGCTAGATACTAATCTGTGTCATGTTCATATCTGTGCTTGTTTTGTCCACTAATCCTCCTGATAATGATATCCAGACATTTCATGGGTTTGGGCAGCAGCAAGAATGTCTGCTCACCAAGGCCTGAGCTGGAGAGCTCATCTTTCTTTGTCTCCCTCCAGGAGAGTTCCTGAGTTTTGCTGATGACTTACTCTCTGGCCTGGGCACATCTTGTGTGGCAGCTGGTCGAAGCCATGGAGAGGTCCCTGAAGTCAGTATCTACTCCGTCATCTTCAAGTGTCTGGAGCCTGACGGTCTCTACAAGTAAGATGTGCTGGGTGCGTGGGGAGTGTGAAACAGGTCGATTTTAAGTCTGGGAGGCAAGGAATGAGTAATCCGTCCAGGCCAACCAAATGTTTTATAGGCCAGCCCATATGTGCACCTTGAGATGCTGAGGTTTAGAAGTATCCATTGGAGAAGTGTCGCCACAGCAAGCCACAGAATCCTACAGGGTTAGCACTGAAGGGCCCAGGGAGACCAGGGAACACAAAACCATTTCTTCTAGTAATGAAGAATCTGCAGCCAAGAGAGGAAACATGGCAAGTTAGCAAGGAGGGCTGGGGCAGGAGTGCCTGCCTGGAGTTCTTTTCTCAATTCCATGATATCTCCTCTGAAAAAGATTACATTAGCATATTTGAAATATATATATACATATATATATGTGTGTGTGTATATATACATACACATATATATATGTATATATATATACACACACATGTATGTATATATATACTTGTATTCATATGTATTTGTTAGTTTTACTAGATTCAGCTGCTCCCCTTAGAAATAGTGCCACCATCACTCCTTCACAGAGTACACTGGAGTCACTGCATTCACACTTCTAGAGATGCAAAAGGAAGTCATTCTAAGGCTCAGCTGTTAATCTCAGAGGGAAAGGGGGCTCCTCTTTCTTTTGTTCCATTCAGTGAGTATTGTCACACTGAGATACATCCATCATAAACTATTACATAGAATTCTAGAGATAAGCTGTCTTCATGTATCCTAATTATGAAACTATAGGCCACTTCCCTTAGCAACCAATTTCACCAGTTATTGAAATCATTTGTTTTTCTTCTATTTACTCACCGACCCATTTACCTAATCATGAATCCCTCCCTCCTTCCATCCTTTTCTCTCCCCTTTCCTCTCTTTCTCCATCCATCCATCCGTCTGTTCATCCACTCATATACTCCATCACTCATTCACTTATTCATCACTTCTTTCATTCATTCACGTTTTTACTTATTCATAACTCATTTATTTATTCATCAGACATTTTCTGAGGACTTCCTATGACTTGATACTAAGCTAAGAAATGCAGGTATGAATGTGACGAAGACAAAGGTTTAATTCTCAAATGACTTATAACTTAATGATGGTATGAAAGGCCACAGATTGTGGAATCAGATCTGGCTTTGACATTTTTAGTTATGTCACCTTAGATAAGTTGCTTTACCTCTATAAGCCTCAGTAAGAAGGTAATAATAAAACCTAGGCTGTAGAGTTGCATGAGATTTAAGTAAGAAACACCCTAGCACAGTAACTAAGTATGTGCTCAGTAAGTATTATCCCTCCACCATCCGAATCTCCTTCACCTCCAAACCACATCCCATCCCTACTTCCTCTGGAAGATACCACTTTTCTAAATACCATGGCACACTTTTGAATACCCAACATATTCAGGCTCTTTGGTAACACCCAACAGATTCATGCACCAAACTCAAGAATATCACTGTAAGCTAGAAATTGGACCTCTGACCCTCGCTCTGCCACTGATTATCTCATAGATGTGGGGGCCCAAGTTTCAGTTTGTCAGAATGGCAAAATCAATTGGGGACAGTGAGAGCTCTGGGAATGGAATCTCCAAAATACCATAGGCTATCAGATCTCTTCTGGTGGGACATGTCGGCAAACTTCCTAGAGGAAGTAGCATTTGCCTCAGGCCTCAAGTGGTGACTTGGGATCTAGATCTTGAGAGCATGACTCCATAGCTTCTTAATCAGTAAGTGCTGACACTAACCTCTTGGGCTCTAGGATCACCCATCTATATAATACACAAGTGTGTGACTGGATTAAGAGCTATAAGGTCTTTTCCAACTCTCAAAACTACGATTATATGAAGAAAGTAGCATTTTTGAAAGATTTCAAGATGGCTGACTTCTGGTTCCTCTGTCCCCCATTATGGGTATAGACTCGAGACAGACAGACAGATCTGGGTTCCAGTGTCTCCCTGCACTTATCAGCTGTGTGACACCGAGTGTGCTTCTCAACCTTCTGAGCTTCCATCTCCTCCTCTGTGAAAATGGGGATAATGACAGTGTCTGACTCACTGGGACCTGAAGAAGATTTGATGAGATAGTGCACAAAAGCTCTCCACTTGGTGATGAGCTCCCAGTAAGAGTGTGAGAAGTGTTAGCTGTTACCACTGTTGTTCTTGTTGTCCTTGTTGTGCTAAAAATAATTTTAACTCCGTTCCCCTCCTTTTGCCGACTTACTGGGATAGCATCTAGTAGAGAGGGACAGAGCCCCAGCAGGTGGTTCCTATCGACTGAGACACAAGCAGTAATCCTGTCTCTGGGTGACGTTATGGAGTCTTGGCATTAGCCAGTCTGAAATCCTACAGGCCCATTATGTAGAGAGCAATGAAATGTTTTATGGAACCCCAAAAGCAGTTAACACTGAGAGCTGACAAATCAGTTGACATCCTTTAGAAGTGATGATCGTTTTCCCTCACCTCTTCTTTTCCTTTCTTCTTGATATCCCCTACCCCCTTCCCACCTCTTGACATAGGACCATCCTTTCTTCTTCTGTCCTGGAAATGTGTTTGTCATGAGCTGTCATCCCTAACTCTGAACACGTCTTTATTTTATTTTTGAAATTGATTTTATTAATGGCTGTGGAATCTGGGCTGTTCTGACAAGGAGCCCAGGGTGTGGTTTGGACCCCATCTCTCATCCTGCTGGTGGCTTTCCTTCCGTGAAGTCTGACCACTCAGTCTTGAGTTTTAAAATAGTTATACTGTCAGTTCTTGGGGTTTCAAATTTTTTGCTTGCTCGTCCCTTACCAAAATTAGTTTTCTAATTCGGGTCGAAAAGGCTGTGTGTGGCAGTAGGAGGAGGACAGACTGAGCTGAGTGCAAATCCTGATTCTTCCTTGTCCTCAGAACCTGCCCTGGGGAAAGCCAGTTCTCACTGCTCTATACCACAGTGTCTTCCTCTGGAAACAGGGAGCTGGTAATTGTTTTGATCTTGTAGGGTTAAAGGGAAGAGCATTAAGTGAGAAACTCCACAGGCAGGGTTTACCAGAATGCCTTGCACATAGTTACTGTTTTTTTTCTCCTTGACTCCATCACTGGTTATCTGTATCTTTCACAAGTATAATCCTGGAAGAGCCGTTCCCTATGGGGCAGGTTGGGGTGCTGCTAGCCCTGGAAAAAAGGACCATCCAGGATCCTTTGGGAATGAAATAGGATGAAAAGAGAACATGGGTCCAGACCCCTGAGTTTTAATTAAGCACAGGGCACCAGATCCCCCATGGACCAACTGCCAGAGCTATAATAGGATTCAGGTAGCACAGGCGTGGAGGATCAGCCTCTCAGGCAGGTAGTCTGAGTTCACATCTCACTACTGCCACTTCTGTCTCTGGGACCTTGGGCTAAACATTCATGCCGTCTCCTTGTTCTGCAGTTTCAACACTTTCAAAGTGAAGGTGTGTTAGGTCCACCCCAGTTTGAGGTTCAGAAAATGCGTACATTTGCCACAAGATTTCTTCTCATTCTCTCTCTCCTTCTCCTCCTGGGCTTCTGCCCTTCCTACTTTTCTACGTCTCTCACTTTGCTTTTACCCCACTGTGCCTCCCTGCATCTCTGTTCATCTCTCATGCCTTTCATTCCCTCTCTGTGTAAGTATATTCTGCATAGCTCACTCTCTTTGTCTATCTGCCATTCTCCCAGTCATTCCTTCTTTGCCTTTCTATTTGTTATTCTCTTAACTTCTGTTTGTCTGTATATAACTCAGTTTCTCTGTCCTATTTCTTAGTTGAGTTTGGATTCCTCTCTGTCTGTCTCTCTCTTTCTCTCTCTGAATGCCCACTCCCTCTCTCCTCTCCACCTGGGAAGGCAAATTGCTTTTGCAGCCCCTCCATCCATGTAATTTTACACAGCACACAGGGTTGAGACCAATTGGAGGAGTGAAAGTCAAGGCTGATTTTCTGTCCTAAGCTCACCCTGGTGTAGCAAAACAGAAACATCAGCATTTGGGCCCTGTTTAAATTGAATTTCCTTGTTTGTTCCATTTGTTTTGCTTTTGAATGAAAACAAACAAAGAGCAGCAGAGGAGAGGGTCCCAGAAGGTCTGACAGTGTGGCCAGCTCCTGCACCCTTAGGTTGTTGGAACTGGTGAGTGACCCCCGAACAGGAATCTCCACTCAGGGTGGACGGGTCAGGCCGGGCTAGGCATTCATGGTCCCTGCCCTTGGCTGGCTAAAGACCTAGACACTGTTCTTGTCGCCATTCCTCAATTTCCTATTACCCAAGGTAATTAGCCTCTGTCTTGTCTTGGCTGCCTTGCCTTTCTCTAATCATGGATGACTGCCAAAGAGTCCTGAGCAAACATGCAGCAGCAGCCAGGCCCAATTCCTGGGTGGGGAGGGGGGCTCATTCCCACACATTTGAAGGCTTGCCCCAGGCCCGTCCTTCACCTCCATGGCCTCCGCTCTGTGAAAAGAATGCCAAGGGAGCCTGGGTACTGCAACCATGTGCCAATATCCACGGTGGGACCAGAGGCTCAGGGGAGGGATTCCTTCTCAGCAGGGATGGGTGGAGTTGGAGGAGAGGAGTAAAAAGAAAACCAGAGCCCTGGAGAAGAGCAGGCATTGTGAAAAAAAGAGCCTAAGGTCAGGAGTCAGATAGCAGTTCCCACACTTACTCCCAGTGAGACCTGGGGCCGGTTCTTTCCCCTCCCCTGGCCTTGATGTTGTCATCTGTGAAATGGAAACATTAAACTCTGTGCTCTGAGACATGCACACTGAGGTGGGGATGCAGACTACACCAGAGTCCTGATTCTCAGTGCTTCCAGCACTTCCTGGATCATAGCAGTAGTGGGGTTAGTAATAGTCGATTGAGCATTCACCATGTGCCAGGAACCACACTAGGGATGTTACATGTACCATCTCATTTAATCCTCGCCATAACCCTATGGATCTGATATCATCCTCATCGTCATCACCTCCTGTTTCATCGTTGGGAAAACTGGGGCTTAAAGGGG